GTATTTGATATTACTGGACCCCACCCCATCCACTGCCAGCCTCGTGGGCATATTTTCTCAACAGCCCTTTACCAGTCTGTCTCCTGGATTAGTCTGGCCTCTCAATCAGCAGTCCACAGAGCCATTTGTATCCCACACAGTTCCCCGAGTATACTCAACCCCTAAGAAGTCCCCAGGGCTGGCATCCTTCAATCTGACTTCCATGGATCATGCCCCAACCAATCCAAAGAACCTCTTAGCCCAAATACCCTTAAAAAATATACACTCCCCTGGAACTTCCTCAGCAACCTTCCACCTCCTGATCTAGCTTCATAGGGAAGGCAAATGTGGCCAAGAGTCATTGCCTAAAATCAAAGCAAACTAAATTTAATTCTCTCTACAGTTTCTTCTTCATAGATCTTCTCCAGGATTTTCCTTGTCCTATTGGAACCTATCCCAGCTCCGGCCCTCCTGGGCCTACTCACAATTCACAACTTCAGGTCCAGCTTCTGCAGCTTATAAGCAGAGAGCTCCAGTCCCCAGCACTGCCTCATCCTGACTATGTAGCTCTCCCCCAAGCTGGGTTCATGTAGCTCCAAGAATTGCCCTTTCAGACTTGTAGCAATCTGGCCTTACTGGTGAAGTTCACTGTTTTCTGATTATCCCACACTTTCTATAGTAATGGGGTTAGGGGACATCCACTATGCTTGCCTTTAACAAGTTACAGTTAAGTATTATACATGTCAAAAAGGATCTATTGGTTTTACCTGATTTGTATTCCCAACTGTGTCAGAAATCTTTAAAATTCAAAACCAAAAAGTTGTCACTAAAACGTTGGTCATACGACCAAGGCTCCCAAGTAATACAGTAGTTTTGAAAAATTTATACAAGATTCAGCTTAACATTCCGACTTCTCCCTTTGTGTTGGACTTACCAACAGAATCTTTCAAGGTTTGCCCATCATTAGATTTGATTGAGTATTTTATTTGTGCAAATGTCGTGGATCCTTTAACCATCACTCTGGCATCACTTCTTTCCCTGAAAAGAAATAGGTCTTTAATTGCAAAGGAATTTACCATGCAAAAGAATTTACCATGCAACGCCTAATTGCAAAGCTTTTACCATGGTGATACTACAGCTTCTTCTCTAGTCTATGCTCATCAATGTGAGCTTGAACATGATGGCAGTCCAAGCTTATCTCATTGATAAATGAACAGAAGGAACAAAAGCTTGTTTCTAGGCCCCAGTGAGCCAACTCATTGGTTTTTTTTAGAAGAGTTTTATGTTGCATTCTGACAATTAGTTTTACTCTTAAATATGATAATTGTTTGAAGTTGCACTAGGGAAAATACATGTTATCTACTGTGGCAGATGAATACTACAGCTTTGGCTGATAAACTGATCTCATTTGTGATGCACCTGATATTCTATTGTTGCTGGTTTCTTTTTTTTTTACAGCACAGCTATACACTCAATTCCAAGTAATTCAGCTAAGGAAAGTAGGTTAGTTAGCTCAGAATTATAAACTTCTTTTAAGAACTTCTATTCAAAAACTAATATTGTGCTTCAGTATGTTTAGGCATTCTAGAATTGTATGGAAGAATCTGGCTTAAGGCTTGCATCACTTGCAAATTATATCAGCACAAATTTCTGCTGCCCACCTGGCTGCTCATGGGGACACATGTTTGGAGGCCAGCTGAGGGCTCTGGGCTATACCCTGGAACTGTGGCCCCTGCTGGCCCAGACCAATAGGTGACTGCAGCAGCAGCAGCAAGAGGCCACCCAGCTGCAGCCACTGCCATGCCACATGCTTGTATGCACTGCCGCACAAGATGAGCTTGGGGGGGCAGCAGAGTCATGTTCCTGGCTGTGCTGATCACAGGGGTGCTATGCACCTGGATCTGCAGAGAAACCAGCACTCTTGCACACCAGTCCATGCCTCCTTCCAGGCACTGCAGCCAGGAACCAAGGGGGTGCCAAATGGTCCCATACCAGTGAAGAGGGTTGGGGGGAATCACAGGGGCACGTGGCACAGCCCAATGAGGAAGAAGAGCAGCACAGTGTATCAGGCAGGCAGTCAGGTACCACTGCTGCCTACCTGCCTGGCACACCATGTCGCTCTGTCTCTGCCTCTGCCTGCAGCAGCACCACAGACTTGTGGGGGAGGGTAGTGTTCCATATTTCCCATGGTTCCATATGGTCCCTCTAGACATGAGCCATATATTTGAAATTGCTTCTGGGAAGTTAAGCTTATCCTGACATTGACATAATTAAAATAAGGCACCAGCAAAGAGAAACTGCAACCATGACATTATTGCATTTACAGTATTTGCTAGTATGCTGTACACAAATGATAGGTGTGAATAGGCCCAGTCTAGCAAAGGGCATAATTGTGCACTTAGTTTTAAGCTAGTGCAAATTATTCACTGTATAGGCAGGGATTTAAATGCATTCTTAATGCTTGGGTGTGATATGTGCTGCACTGAACTGGAATCATAATTTGTTTATCATTTACTACTTAAGTTCCCGGCCCCAGCCCCAGAAAATCATGGGCTAAATGTACCTTTCAGATACTCATAGCACTGAAGTAATTGAGGAAGTAAGGTGTATGACTTCCAAGTAGAAATCAAAATTGGGACCAAAAACCTTCTTTTTAAGGGAAATGAATAAATAAGATCAGCTATACAAGTGCCACACACTTCCTCTCTTGAAGACCTCTCTTTTGAAGGAGAAAGAGAGGAAAGAGACAAGGGACTGAGGTTACATCGCTCAGTGCTACTAGAAGATCTAAAAGCTTCGTAAGGTGGCTTCTCCCTTTTCCCATTCCAGCAAAGGAGGACTTTCTTACAGGACAATGCAGCAAAAAACAAGCAAGTAAGCAAACCAGGCAAACAAACACTGCTGCACTAATGAAAATGTTCTCTTTTTATATTTTTGTTCAATATTGTTGTGTTTGTTGACCGCCACACCTCTTCCCCTCTACACACACACTTCTCTACAGTTACCAGGGAGTGGACCCAATCTGTTGATTCTTTGGTTCTTCTAATGATACAATTTGCTGCCATTTTTCATGCACTGAGCAGCCTGCCTCTGAGAATAGTACCCTGTCTCTCTGAACAACTATAAATGGTATAAATAATGCACTGCATTTTATATGTACTGACTACTGTTTATAGCGTGCCATATCTGGCTGTGTGTACAATCAAGTCAAGCCAATCCCAAGGCTCCTGTGTCCATTGGGGCATCTTAGATGCTGTAACAACCCTCCTAGGTTAGTTGAGTTGCTTTGCATCATCAGTGATTCTTGAGGCACAGTGACCTGGTAGCTCCCATGCCCTCTCCTGGTAGGGGTGGCCGTTGGCTCACAGGGAGCTCATCCTCTGATAGGTCTTGTTTTTAGCCCTGCTGGGTGTCCACACACCTTCCTCACCCAGGCTAACCCAGGGGCACCAGTTTAGTCACCGACAACCGGACCATAGAACAGGCTATATTGGTTTAATGGTACCAGATAGCAAACCAAGAGAGGCCTAATCTGACAAGCATGTATAGAATTAAACCATAGTTAATCCAACATTGACAAGTGTAAGACCTGTTTGACTTCATGTAAGTGTTTAGTCTTTACTGACTCAGGATGTTGGCAAACATCTCAACTCCCCCCCCCTCCCCCCCCACTTTCTTTAAAAGATGATTTTTATTCAGATCCTCTTTGTATGCGTATGTTCCCTCTTAAGTTTTGTTCCTATCTAGAAAACATGGTTGGATTTGGTTTTACCTTCACACCATCATCAAAATAATAATAATAATAGTTTTTGACACAGGGCTCTTCATCTGAAGAACTAAAAGGCCAACATTTCCAAAGACAAAACCTATGTTCTCCTAAAATCTATGTTTATGCTTCCAAATCATTCAAAAGAGTTGAGCATCCACAGAGATATTTTAGCCAAACTTAATTGAAATGTATTGACTAAAAAAGGTTAAGAAGCTAGGTAACTACTGATGGCTAGAAAATGGTATTTAGAGGTTTGCTTTTGGGAATATAAGTAAAGTAGATATGCATTAGAACAATGGTCCAGGGAATGGCAAAGGTTAATTGATTTCTCAAAGCCTGTTTGTGACAAAGTTCAAAGTTCCTTCAAGGCCCACTGTGTCTGACGCAGCAAGCAGACACAGTCTGGGAAATTGAAAACATGTACCACATCGTTCATGAATAGTATACCCAAACATAGATAAGGGACTCTGCAGATCACAGTACCAAAATGCTTGGGATTTCCAGTTTTGGGAGATGGACCAAATTCGGAGAAACTGGTAAAAGCCCAAATTAGGACGTGTGCATTTGATGGGTTTGTGAAACAATGGAATATGCTGACGGGATAGAACATGGATAGCATGAAAACCACAGGGAAACCAATCAATAATGCCCAGAGATTAGGAGTCATCAGAGGGGAGAAAGAGTACAAAAGGAGAAATTTCAGAACAGCAAAGGGTTCCCAGGAGGGGAACCCAAGGCCACCATGGACAGAGTGCATACCACCAACCTGCCTCATCCCCCCTCCAACTGGGGGGCATGGGTGGGGGGTTGAGCCTTGGCCTCTGACCTCCAGGCTGCTGACATCTGACATTCAAAAGAGAACCTCAGGGTGAAGCTTGCATACTGGCCAGATGTACCTTGACTCCGTGACATCTCTAGGACTGGTAGCTATAGAATTGTTTGCATTATTCTTATCTGCTATCACTGTGTATCAGTAAAATTCACTTATTATTGAATGGAAAAGTCATGGTAGGTCTGAAGCTTTGGGTCCACCTGGAACAAAGTATCTGGGTCATAAATCCAGTGCCAACAACTACCATGATCTCCTTCTTACAGGTAGAGAAAAACATGGTACCAATGCTAAGGACGAAATCTTCATTCTCTTGAATTCAGTGGCAGATCTCTAATTAGATGGTTTGTTCAAACTGATACAATAAGTTGTTGCAGAATCAAGGATAGAATCCTGGTCTGTCACCTCCTGCTTTTGTGCTAAAAGACCATAAATTATCTCAACTGTTTACTGAAAAGTTTAAAAACGTATGTTGGAGCAGTGAAATAATTTTAAATAAATATCTCAATAACAGAAAAATCTTTGGGACAAAAATGGCCAACCCTGCTTTTTCATTTATAATCTTCCCTGCATAACTCAGTATATTGTTTTAACTATCTACTTTGGAACTGAGAATTTTTTTTAGAAAAATATTAAAAGTGAAACTATAATTAGTGAAATAGTGCTTCTCTGCCTTTCTGAATGTTGTGATGTATTCCTGGCTGTTGCACATGTACAGTGCCATGAACTTGTGATCCACGTAATGTCTCTCTAAAAGAACACTGAGCAATAACCAATCAAACTCAAATAAAGAGTATGCTGAGAAAAGACTAAAAATTAAGCTATCAAACAGTATTTTAGAAACAGCAAATTCTCTTCCTTATTCCTGCACACCAAAGTGTTTGATGATAGTCTATGGTTAAAACTAAGCATTTCCTATTTATGTCAAACCAGACCCTGCTAGCCTTACTTATAATCCACCATTTACTCACCCTTTAAAGGGACTACTTGTCTGTCACTCCATCTAAGGGCTCAGAAGCCAGACCCATGGCATTTGTCTAATATCTGTGCTGTGCAGCCTCTCTCTTTGAAGGGTTCATTTCATTGCTGATATAAGTAGGTAAATGACATCTCCATCCTCTGGGGAGTAAAATATACCTATTTTGAGGTATGCTTCCTGAGAAAAATTAGAGTAATTACAATTCTTGTGTAGGGTGCTCAGTCACAAAAGCAAGTAATCTGGAGAGAGTTTTGTTTTTCCAAGTGACTGTGCCAGATTATGAACTTCACAAATGCTTCAGGTCACTTTCCCAGTGGGATCAGAATGCTGATGCAAACTCACAAGGGAAATAAGATTTCTTTAGTGCAAATCTGCTCCACAGAAAGGCCTGATTCTCTTCTAACAATCAATCTCAGTTCTCTTTATCTACAATATGCCAAGAAAATGATGCAGCCCTGC